TCCCGAGAAAGGCATGCCCCCTAAGACAAAAACCCCCCTAAAAAAAAAAAAAAAAAGTCATTGCATGTAAATAGTAACTCTGAGTCAAGAATGCATACAATTAAGACCCCAAAGTCACTAACACATGAAGCACCCTGTAATCAATCTATGACCAGATAGGAAAAAATCAACTGGCCGTTTTCACTGAGCTCTTACTCTGCCCCAGACACGTTCTCACGTTTCATACACATTCATTCACTTACTTCTCACAACCCTTTGCAAATAAACGTTATTGCTTTCGTTTTATAAAGGAGAAAAGGAAATCACAGAATGCTGAACAACACGACCAAGATCAGACATCCAGTTAACGCTGGCTCCAGAGCAGACCTAGGTACTGGGCCCCGGACTCTCGGCAGGTCACTGTCGACAGCGCAGACCCTTGAGAAGCCAACGGCAGGAAGGACGCAGGGTGTACCATAGGGTTCATCGTGTCTGCGGGAGGAAAACAAAGCAAAGCAACCAAAAGGTCAAGACAACACCAATAATATTTCTGGGCCTAAAACAAAAGAAATTTCTCCTAGCGACATATTGAAAACACGCCAGTGAAAATACATAGCTCAGGACTCACAGTAATTTAGCTGAAGTGGTGGGGGGTCCAGACTCAGGCAGAGGTAGAAGATACACAGACACTCGTGGTGAAAGTTTGGGTGTCCGAAGAGCCGAAACAGATGACGGCGTGGCGTGAGTTAGCGTGAGGGCCGGGGAAGAGAGGAAGGTCCACTCCAGGCTTCATGGGCAGCGGAAGGTCATGGCCTGTGTCCTAGGGGAAAGAGGGAACCACGGAGAGGATTGAGGCCGCAGCGGAACAGAAGGAGACATGGCTGGCACTGTGGAAAACAGTGTGAAGAGGAAGCGAGTACAAGCTACTAGACCGGTTTACAGAATACTGCAGTCTCATCAGCCAACAATGATCAAAGCAGGGAAAGCAATGACGATGAGGAAATGGAACTGGTTCAAGAGATGCTCTGACGATCAAAATAGAAAATGATGGGGCCAGCAGGTGGTTAAGGCGCTGGAATCCCACATGGCCAGCCAAGGTTTGCGCCCCAGACCTAGCGGCTTGCTTTCTCATTTTCCCCCTCTCTCTCTCTCTCTGTCTCTCTCTCTCTCCAAATAAAACTAATTAAATAAAGTTGGGACCAGCAGTTAGCCTAATGGCTATGTCGCTGGACTCCCACATAGTCGACCGCGGTTCACATCCCAGACCCAGTGGCTTAAAACTCACGCCGGGCACGTGTGCGTGCGTGCCCAAGATCCCAAGAGGAGAATGGAGGAGAAGGGATTGCGGCATGGCCATCCCCCCGGGGGGTGATTTCTCACTTTCTGTCTCTCTGTCTTTCTCTGTCTGTCTGACGAGCACATGCACCCTATAGCAAAAACCTCTCAAAAAAATTAAAGTTAAATAAAATAATTATTTTTTTAAAAATAGAAAATGATGACAAATCAGGTATTAGAGATAAGGGAGATGATGTCAAAGATGACTCTTGGGTTTTGACAAGTGCAACTTTGCAGATGATAGTTTTCTCTTTTTACTAATTACTTATTTAATTTTATTTATGATTATTTGCTATCGTTTTTAATTTTGCTATAGAAGGCATGGGTTCACCAGAGATATTCACAGAGAGAGAGAGACAGAGGGAAAGTGAGAAAGCAAGCCACCAGGTCCAGGACTTGAACCACAGTTAGCCATGGGGGAGTCCAATGCCTTAACTACCATGTCACCTGCTGGCCCTAATGATAGTATTCAATGAGGAGGGAAAAAGAGGTCATGTTGAAGAATACTGACCTTGACGTGGCTTTCAGTGATCAAATGGAATGTCAAGTAGACAGTGAAACCGCACATCTGGAACATGGAGGGCAAGTCTAACCTGGACATAAACGTTTGTCCAGGAGGTTTTCAAGGTCGAGAGAGTTGTTAAAGCCAATGACGTGGGTAATGTGCCTAGGGGGAAATCCATACATTGAGTGAGAAGAGAGAAAGTCCTGGGACCCAGCCTTGGGAGCAGAAGATGTGTCTGCAACGAATTATAAGAAGGAGCTCCAGATACACAGGAAGAAAATCAGGAGAAAATGGCGTCACAGATGCCAATGGAGGAGAATTTCGAGAAAGAAGGCAAGGCAATAAGACAGTCAAAGCTACTACAGGTCAAGTAAAATGAGGACTGAAAATTGAACACAGCAACATGAGGGCCAGAGCTCTGCTAGCACACGTGTAGGGGTGATGGGACCCAAAATTGGGGTGGCATGGGGTGATGGGTGCTGACGGAATGGAGACGGGACCAGCAGTTGGCGTAATAAAGGAATGGGGACAGGGACTACGGACAACTCTGCTGAAATCTGACGATGAAGGAGGGAGGATTGGGATGGTAGCATTTTCTTTAACGGAATAAAGAACATCACCTCAGACATACAACTCAAATCCCTAGTGCCAGTGTCTCAACTAATGATGTGACATTTGCATGACATTATAAGGTAGAGCATTTTTCATAGCAATGGGCAGTTGATCCTAAATTTTTATATGGCCCTAAGATAGTTCTTTTTTTTTTTTTTTCCACATAAGTGATTCATTAATCTGGTCAGTTTTGACACAGAGAAGCCCTGTTCGTCTCCTCACTCAGAGGACCTGCCACGGTGCTGTCAGATGTTTGGGTCTTAGTCCAGCTACTGCTGAAGAAACAAAAGGAAGGATTCTTCCTTCAACACCCAAGATGAGTTATTTAGAAGTCCTCAGTCATCAGCCAGTCGTCAGTGTTTGTCCGTAACAGTCACGAAGGGAACACCATGACCAGCTATGGCACTAGATGATGAGAACACAAAGGCGAACGAGACACGATTTCTGAGGGCCCTGATGACCTTTGACTCCCATGGAGTTAGGTCCCAATGAACTCACCATAAGTTGAAAATACTGTAAGTTGACAGTCTATTTAATAAACCATCTTAAAGTCTAAAAGTCTTAAGTCAAACCCTTGTAAGTTGAGGCTATCTACACTTATAAACAGATGCTCCTGGGACCAGCCGTTAGCGTAATGGCTATGTCGCTGGACTCCCATGTAGTCGACCACGGTTCGAGTCCCGGATCCGGTGGCTTAAACTCACGCTGGGCACGTGTGCATACGTGCCCAAGATCACAAAAGGAGAATGGAGGAGAAGGGATTGCAGTGTGGCCATCCCCCCAGGGGGTGATTTCTCCCTTTCCGTCTCTCTGTCTCTCTCTGTCTTTCTGGCGAGTGCATGCGCCCTATAGCAAAAACCTCTCCAAAACAACAACAAGAACAACAACAAAAAATAAAAATAAAAAAAAAAAACACATGTTCCTAGAACCTTGTGAAAACCCTAGAACCTTGTGAAAACGCCATAAAGAGAAATGTGTGAGGCGCTAGGCAGAAAGGTCACCTGACGTGCTAGACTAAAAGAAGAGGATGCGTGTCTGAGTGTGTGTGAGTATGCGTGTGTGTGTGCGCACGTGTGTACTTGCATGTCCGTGAGACTCAATCATGGGAGGTCTCAGGGACAGGAAAGACCCCTGAACTGACCTTAAGTAATATGAACAGTTTATCAAGAGTTATAAGGCAAGGTGGTAAGTTCTTCACATCTTCACCAGCTTAGTATATCCGTTTCAGAGATAAAGAAATGGAGGCACAGGGACCAACAGATGGCATAATGCGTATGTCACTGGACTCCCACGTAGTTGACCACGAGTAGAGTCCCTGACCCAGTGGCTTGAAACTCCTGCCAGTGTGTGCGTGCATGCCCAAGATCCCAAGAGGAGGATGGAATAGAAGGGACTGCAGTGTGGCCATCTCCCCCGGGGGTGATTTCTCGCTTTCTGTTTCTCTGTCTCTCCAGTGAGCACATGTACCCTATAGCTAAAAAATTCTCTCTTAAAAAAAAAAAAAAAAGGGGACCAGCAGTTAGCGTAATGGCTATGTCGCTGGACTCCCCCGTCGCCGACTGGGGTTCGTGTCCCCGACCCGGTG